CTCGGCCGTGGGGTGCTGCAGCGGCCTGAGTCCCCCGCACGACAGTGGGCCAGATCTGCAGGTTTCCTTTTCCATGTAGCACCACCATGTCCCACTCTTCTGCACCCACCGCTCCGGTGAGGGGCTTCAGGCTGGTCCTTGGGGGGCCCCCGATCCACTTGTCTGAGCTAGTCCAGCGCACCGGCCCTAGCAGTGGCCCCAAGGGCCCAAGGCAGCCCCAGGGATGGATTATGGGGTGCTGTAGGCTGGATCTGGCCTGCGGGCCGATGTTTGACAGCCCTGATTTCATGTTTCAGGACAAAGTTGGCCGGGATGCGGGTCCGTGAGCCAAGCTACTGACAGCGTGGGTAGGCGACCGCAGCTAATCTGTCTACAAAAGATGACCTAAAGGCTCTTCCTTATGGCTTGAGCTGCGCTGCTGATATTGTCTTTCTTAGCCCAAACTGTGTTTATGGTTCTAGTATTTCTCCATGTGAAATAACCCCAGCAGGCTGGGAGATCTCCTTGGGAAATGAGCAGCATCTGGATTCGTCCATTACACCTCATACTATATTGCTAGATCTCTGTGAATATATTTATACAGTGCGCAGCAGTGCCATTCGAGACGTGGCCACTAGGTTGAGGTAGGCTCCACCTGTTTCATGGACATTGTCTCCCGAACTAGAAGCAGTGTGATGCTAATGTGGTCCCACTGCAAGCATGCCAGTGGTCTCAGCACGGCACTGCCTGCTCTGGATACACCAGGCTTGCAGTTGCACATGCTGTGCAGGCTTTCCCACCCCCCAATTATAGTGACCAGAAGTGCATCCCACCTGTGATAGTGCCTCAGGATGAGAGAACTAATTGTGACCAAAAAGTGCTTATAAAAGCTTTTGGAAGAAGGACATCCTTGTCCTTCCTGTAGGGTCTTTCACAGACCTGGGGTTCTGAAGGGTGGTCTTAATTCAACTCAACTGCCAGGCCCCCCGTGCTGTTGTCTGAGCAGGGTCTGGAGATGTCCTGGAGCCTGGAGAGGCTGTGCCTCCACGAGATGCTGGCTTCTGTGTATCCAGCGTGTGAAGAGAGTGAAGGAGAAGCCAGATCACTTGTATTTAGGTGGTTTGCAGGTTGTTGAGTGAAGGATCAGCTCTACAGCCAGGTGTTACATACTGACTAGGGCAGGGGTCAGCAACCCCCAGCACGCGTGCCGAGCATGGCACACAAGGCCGTTTTGCTCGGCACACCACCACCAGCCTGGGCTCTAAGCAGCTGCTGCCAGCCATGGAGCCCTGGCTGCTACCAGCAGGCACCTGGGAGGCTGCAAGCAGACCGGTTTCTGTGGGTCATCTGCAGCTGTGAGGCTGCAAACAGCTGCTCTGGGCTCTGGCATGTCAGCACTCTGGTACCTTCCAAGGTAGACATTATGTTTTTTTTGGCATTCCAGCCAGAAAACATGGTCTACCCCTGGACTAGGGTGTTACTAATTTTGTTTTACCCTAGCTGGCAGAGATTATAGTAGAAGATGCAGCAGTGGAAAGGAGAGAAGATAAGAGGAGAATGATGATAAAGGAAGTGAGGAAGTTAATTTATTATGATTCACTGTTTGCTGTGGCTTTCACTACAAAGGAAACCACCAGCTGGAGCAGAGTAGTGGTCCAGCAGAGCTGATCAGCCCAAAGCAGGCCTACCCAAGAATCTGGGTTCTGCTGTCTTACTGCAGACAGACTGAGGCTGTGCTTACATATTTATCACTCAGTGCTGCTAATTAACCTGCCCGTGGTGCTTCTGGTTCAAAAGGTAACCAAGGCAGAACGGCATATAGGCCGTCCTCAGATTTATGACACAATTGGTTTCTGAAAACCATATCTTAAGTTGACGGGGTTTAGGTTGTAGCCGTGTTGGTCTAAGGACATAGGCAGACAAGGTTCCTTGGGTGAATCTGATATCTTTTATTAGACCAACCCAAATAGCTGGAGCTCCAAATAGTGCTCCAGCACACACCAACTGCTGAAACTTCCTTAGGCTGACAAAGGGTTTTTGAACCCGGAAGCTTGCTTAATAAATATTCTCCAACTATTTGGGATGGTCTAATAAAAGATATCAAATTCACCCAAGGAACCTTGTCTGCCTATCTTAAGTTGAAACGTTGTAACTCAGAACCAATTTTCCCATAGGAAACAATGTTATAAATGGGGGATTGGTTCCTGAACCAAGGCCGGATACCCTATTTTCACCCAAGATAACCCTGAATCTTGTACAGTACTCAATCAATTGTATAAAATAAACGTAGCTATATTACTTGTCTATATGTATTGTAAATATACCAGATCTGGGGGTCACACGTGCCTCCCCCAATCCCCTCTATGCCCTCCTGGACAAGCAGCAGGAGCCTCTGGACAGGCCGCAGCTTCTCCTGCGGCCGCCCAGCTCAGCCCCAGTACTACCTGCCTCACCCCAGTGCAAGCAGACGGATGAGCTGTGGTTTCTCCTGCGGCTGCCCGGCACAGCCCTGGAACTGCCTGCCTCATCCCGGTGGGGGCAGCCAGGGGAGCAGCTGGACAAGCTGCGTCTTGAGCTGTGGCTTCTCCCACGGTCGTCCTGCGCAGCCCTGGCACTGCCTGCCTCGCCTTGGTGCAGCCAGGGGAGCAGCTGGACAAGCTGCAGCTTCTCCTGCCACCCAGAGCCCTCGCTCCCAGAGCCCGGCGCAGCCCGATCTGGGCAGCGTTTGCCCCACCCCATTACAGCCACGGCCCTTTCCTTCCCCCTTCCCTTCCACCGGCAGACCTATATCCAGCATTCAGTGTTGTCAAGTTGAAACCCGTGTCGGAACTTCAAAACCCAGGTGTCAGTTTTACAAATGTAACTGCGGTTCATCCGAACTCGAACCGTTGTAAGTCGAGGACTGCCTGTACTGTTCTACAGTGTACAGCTGCTTACCATGAGAAGTTTTCTGTGTAGGCCTGCCCTGATTGCTTCATGTTCTCAAGCATCCAGAACTAAAGCTGTGGGAGTTTGTCAAACTTGGTCTAAGATGGTATTAGTTGCATGAAATAAGCATTGCAATGCATTGTATTTGTACCTACTGCTCTACTTGCCAGGATCAAGATATTTTAGGGTATCTGTGTTTCGATAGGGTATGTGTTTCTATTTGAATGGCCCTTACGGCGTTGGAATTGTCAGGTGTTAGTTGTTGCGTGTGCTTTTTGAAAATGTAGCTCATGCTTCACATACTAAGCTGGCTTCCATATTTTTCTGTTTTGACGTTGAGACTGACTACTAGAAAACACAACAAACTTAAATTTTAGATTCCTCTGCTTAAACATACAAAAGGATGGTGATAATAGCAGGAGGTGATGTAGCATCTCTGCAACTTGAATGAATGAACCCGTTCTAAACCTTCAGAGAGTTCTTCTGGACTTAAATCTTGTATACTAATTTGGGGCCCAGAGAAGATTTTTAGCAACCTGATTATAAAGCCCTGGTGAAACAGCTCTCATTTAAATGTAATGATGCAACTTACTCTGGATTCCTTTAAGAGTCAATTGGACATTTATCTTGCTGGGTGGGATCCTGTGACCCCAGCTGACTTCCTGCCCTTGGGGCAGGGGGCTGGCCTCGATGATCTTCTGAGGTCCCTTCCAGCCCTAATGTCTATGAAACTTGGGGAGGTAACAAAATAAAGAGACAATCATAAAATGCTCTTGAGGCAGATATTTTATTTTTATTTTCAATTTTTTTTTTTAAAGAGGGGTGCCTGCCTCTGGCATGCTTACCTTACCAGCTGTATAGCCAGAACAGTGAGGGTAGGTAGGCATCATGGGCCCTGCCTACAGATGTAGCCTGTCCATTCTTGTCCACAATCGGATACTAACATTTTGAAGATTCCTTTCCCCTGTGCCCCTCAAATCCCCAAGTAAAAAGGAAAGTCATCATGGGTAACCGCCCCTTTGCCATTTCCCTGATATGTCATGGCAGAGCTGCTCCCATTCATATGGACCCAACCCAGAAATGCAATAGTGAAGCTACTCTGGAGGTCTGCCACACCCTCCCCCCCTCCCTTTCCATTTTCAACTGCTTTTGAGGCCTTGGTGTATGGCATGTTTGTGAGCAGCTCTTGGGATGACCTCGAGCAGCTTCTACAGTAAAACTTGACAGCAGTTGGGCTAGCAACGTACTGATAGTCCTGCTTATCATGCTGACCTTGTTGTTTCCTTGTGCTTTCCCCTTCTTCCCATCCTCCCACCCCCGTATACAGTGTCCGTTTCTTGCCTTTCATCTTATATTGTAAGATCTTTGGGGCAAGGATCCGTTTTTTGTTCTGTTTGTTCAGTAGCTCGTGCAGTAAGTTCCTGGTCCATGATTAATGTGGTGTATTACAAACAAATAATTACTGGAGGTTGGCAGATTTTAGCAAAACAGGAAAGTAAGACTGAGCATGTTTTCCATGCTTCAGTTGTTTTCCGGAAAGACCTCTAATGCAGTAGTTTGTTACCAGTGTCCTGTGTTGCTCCCTGGATTGTCTAGCAGAGCTTTTTTTTTTTAATTTTACTTTGCAGCTGAATGTGGACATACAGCTCAGAAGAATGGAGTGGCTGGGCTTCTAGCTCTTGATTTAGATCCATTGATTTCTGCTGTGGGCAGTGGGGTCCACAAAGTAGAAAAACTTCATGTGTACATTAAGCTTTTTTATTTTCAAGTTTAACTGCGGTGTGCTGTGCTGCAAGAGAATGTTTGCAGCCCTGCAGTCTTTGTAGAAATGATACCAGCAATGAGAATGACAAGGAGGTACCCATGGAAAGGGAGCTAAGTAGCAACAATGGAGGAAGAAGATAGTGCTCCTTCTTGCCCATGTAAAAGATATGGAAATAAGGTGACTTTGACATGAAGGTAAGCTGCAGACTGAGTAAACAGACATGGTTAGATGTGAAGATATCTGGTAATGAAGTAGCAGTGTAACTTGTAATTTCTAGTCTGTCATTGCTGTTTTGCAATATTAGACCTAATGATTTTTTTCCTGAGTGTAAATGTAACCACTGTTTTGGGGCATAGGATACAATGAATGGATTCAGGTTTTTAAGGGTTCATATTCTGTATAAAAACAAGCTAGATAAATTGCAGGATTTGAAAATCTATGTGTTATCCAAAGCAACAAAAATGTGGCACTATGCTCATTTATAACATGAATAAGATCCTTGTATACCAGTTGTACACTATATTTACTTTACAATTCTATTTAGAACATAAAAAGTTGTATGCTCTGCCCTGCATTCCCCTCCTGACTTCATCTTTTCTCAAGGATGTGTATTTCCTGGAGTCTTTTATTCTTTGAAGTCTTCGTCTCCCTGCACTGTCTTATGCCTACCAGTTT